AGAGCTATCGTGCCCTCCATAATACACCGTTCCTATTGACTTTTTTTGGTCTCCCTTTTATTTCGCATGTGTTATTTTTCATCCGTTTTAATATTTTTTCTTTTCTCTGCCATGTGGATTAGAGCTGGTTCTCAAATCCTATATGTGGAAAATGTCAGAATGGTGCGTGGGAGATATGGACTTGACTGCTCTTCGCTTTTCGAAATAGAAGAGCCTGATGGTCTTTACTCGCGCACCGCAGACTACACCGCTATTTCCTCTCGTTGGCCTAATATTCTGCTCTATATTTATTACTACTACAATTATTCAGTTCCCTTTTTTCCTTTTTCTGTTTCCTTGAGTTTTCACATGTCTCTGCTTTACACAGTGAGCATCAGGTTGGGAATATAAGGAATTCGAATTTGTTCACTCATTACTGCAGATATTATCATTAGCGTTTCTCTTATTTATCTTACCTTTTTTTCCATTTGTCTATTAGTCGATTTCTTACATATGTTCATTTTTTTTACAATCTAGTATTATTATTTTTTATTTTTCTTTTCTTTTTCTTGGCTTTCTCTGCCTGCCCTTCTGTTTCTGTAAATTATGTATATATCTTGCCATTTGCCATCATTCTACTTTATGTTTTTGCTGCTACCTGTGTATATTTTGAATTCGGACCACCGAGGCTCTCAATCTTTGCTATCCATCTTTTCTTTCCGCATCTGTCGTTCTTAAATGGAAATATCAGAGACGAACTCTGATTCGTTACTTTGGCTTTGCAGGGTTTTCTCCCTACCTGACCTCGTTTTGATATAACTAAACTGTACATCAAAGTCGAATGAATATATTTCCCCGTCTCATTTCCCCCTTCGCGCTTTCAGTGTGTATATTACGATTGTCTGTTTGATTTGTTCTCTATTCTGTGCTTTTAGAAAGTTAACTTCTTATCTTATGGCATGTTTAATTCCTGCTTGTTTTGTCTGCGCAATTACCTCATGTATATAACTGTGAAATACATCTGCAGTTACACCTTTATCTTTAATCAGCGGGAGTGAACTTGTACATTTTATCCCTTACTTAACCTATCGTAGATTGTACTATCTTTTCCTTGCTCTTAAGTACGTAGTTAAATTAGCTATATACGGGTAATTTGACCCCAATGGATAATCTCAACATGTAATTCCTATTGATTAGGAGTTATGTAGATTAAATCAGTCTGTTGTATGGTTAAATAACGTTCATGAATGTAATTATAATAGGATCTGGAAATGAACAGTGAATCATTTATTATTTATGTACAGACACATAGGCATGAGCAAGCCATAAACACAATTGTAGGTCTTGATGGAATACAAATTGGCAATTTTTTCCATCTCCATTCTCACACCGTCAGGGTAGCAGGAGATTGCGGGCAGCTTCGACAAAGGAACCAAAAAAAAAAAAAAAAAAATTGAACCTGTTAAACATTCCACCCATCCGACCTCCTCCACAATCCCCTTCCCTTCAACAGAACCCAGCACATAAACACACTATCACAACATCAAATCCACACAACCGACACAACTCCCTTACCTCCCCCTCAACATCCCCCTCAACCACCCCCTCCCTCTCCCCCTTCCCCCACCACCTCCCAAAACTCCCCAAAACATTCCCCCACCACACGTCCCTTCCCATCAAAAACAACCCCCTCCCCCCTCAGCAACCCCACCTTCTCCGTCGCATAGTCCCCCCCACTCCCCCACTTCCCTTTATACCCGCCGACTGTGCGATCCGACGCCAACACGCGGTGGCACGGCACGTCGGGGGCGAAAGGGTTGGTGCGCATGGCGTTGCCGATTGCGCGGGGGGAGGAGGAGAGGTGGGAAGCTAGGGTTGCGTAGGTCGTCCAGCGGCCGCGGGGTATGGAGAGGAGGGTGCGGTAGACTTTGCGTTGGTGGGGGGTCAGGGAGGGGTGGGTTGTGAGGCGGCGAAGGGTGGGGAGGAGGGCTGGGTCTATGGATTGGGATTGGGATTGGGATTGGTTTGTGGAGATGGGGTTGGAGGGGGGTTTAGGGGTTGTGGTGAGGGCTGGTTTGGGGTTGGCTTTTGTTGCTTTTGCGGTGTGAGATGTTCGTTTTCTGCTTGAGATTGCAGAGGTGGTGAGGGTGGTGGTGCGAGCCCGTACGGTGGCAGTCATGGCTCTCTTTCTTTCTTTCCTTCCTCTTATTTTTCGGCCCGTTCTACGAAAAAGCCCTGATGTAGGCTTTTTGGATGCTGGCCTTGCCGTGTAGGATACGTTGATGGCAGACTTAGCCGTATTTATGTATATATTTTCAATATATACCGGTTCTTGTAGAGTTCAATATCTCATAGATCCAGGCGGCTGTAGGTCCTCCTGTGTCTGACACCTCATGTACCAGGATCAGAACCCTGATGATATATATTAGCAATGGCCATCCAATGCTTTGCAAGTGCTTGCGAACCTATGCCTTGTCCTTTCCACCAACATTCAAATCGCTTTGTATTCCTTTGCTGCTTTCTCCCATCTTCTCCTTTTCCTCCTCCTCGGGGTGACGCGATTCATAACTAAATAGATATAACTAGTTAGTTATATACCTTCCGCTGATTAAGCCACTCGTCAGCGAGCACGGGATCACGTGTTGGAAAAACGTCCAATCGGAAGAGTTTATTCCTCGCCGAATCTTGCAAGGAATATAGCCAATGAGAGGCTGGCGGAGGATTAGTTCTGCCGAGTTCTGCTAACCAAAGGAGCGCAAGGAACCATCACGGAGTATTGCTTGTTTGGCGGTTGCTCTCGACAGGACGGAGTAACTGGCCTACGGAGCATGCTCTGTTCAAGAGTGGCGTTGGAGGTCCGCTGTTCGCTATTCAACGTAGCTACAGCTTGGGTCAGATATGGGGCTCTAACAGCATCGGCCCCGTTAACTTGCCGATTCCAGTGGTTTCCAATTGCGCAGGTCCCTTCGAGCAGGCCGTTGCCAGCTGCTCCATGATACAACCCCTGACGCTCAGCGGGATGACTGCCGCAGACATATCCTAAGGGTGGATAGGAGGCTTTGTTGCATCTACTAACCTCCTAGCAGCACTGGTGGATCTTGTCTTGACATTCTGTCCTCGTCCTCGCGACTGCTCGTGAGTGGATGTCGCAACCTCGAATCATCTTCGGTTACCTAAGGACTCGTGCTTCAATTCGCCTTCTAGTACAGTCTACAGTTCCACTTAATAAAGCAATAAAGGATCGCAACACACTCAACAAACTCAACAATCCGCCACCCTCGCCCTGCCCAATGTTATAAACGTACCATCATTCCACCTCCCTAACCCCCAGCCCCCCAATCATCCCATTCGACTCCACGCTTCCCTCATCCACCAACTTCTCTGCAGCCTCAATCCCCATCACCGGAACCTTATACTCAAACCTCTTGCCCTCAGCCGGCTCCCTTATGCTGCCACCATCGCCATCCGCCACCGAATATGGAAACGGCAGGTATTCCGGCAACAATCCCAGTTGGCGCAGCAGGCCGCCTTGGTCCCACCATATGTGCTCGTGGTAGAGGCGGTCGCCCCGCACATTAACGATGGAGACCATGGGGAGACGGACGCGTTGGTTTGTTGCAGGGATGGTTGGGATGCTTTTTGTGGAGTTAGTTGGGGGCTGGGAGATGTGGAATGGGATTGGAGAAAGGGGAAGGGGGGTGGGGTTTAAGTGATGAGTTGTGACTGATTAAGTGCCAAGCGGGGGAAGGGAGAGGGGAGGGAAAATCTGCCTTACAGCCAATCTATCACCTTGTCATGTGTGAAGCTGAAGATGAACTCATCGATGATTCGATCGATGCCGACGGTGCGGCTGATGAGTTCTATATGGGTGTCGTCTGGATTATTGAAGATGAAATGGTGGTGGTAGAAATTGGAGAGGCGGGCGCGACCAATGCCTCCTGTCATCTATTCATCTATTATTATTTGGTAACGGGTGACCCTTTTAGGATTCCCTTTTTGCTTTTTTGCTTTTGCCCGGGGAGAAATATCTATATCGGACAAACCAACCACTCACCGTCGGTACATGATTAACATACGGCTCCTGCACCATCGTCCCCATCGTCTTAGCTACAGACCTGTCGCCGAATTCAAAGTACGTGTGCTCGTCCCATATAGCCTCGAGATCGAAAAATGGCCCGCCGATCTTGGTTTTCAAAAATGATAGAGTACGGGTATGTGCTACTGCTGCCGCTGAGGGGTCGAAATCTGCGTGCTGGGGAATAACGAAGTTGGCAGACTTTGCATCTGGGTATTTGTGAGCAACCAGATTGCCTCCTAGTGGAGGTGTGGGTGTATTTTTGCCCGGAAGATGGAGCAGTCTTGCGATGTTGATGTTGGCGTTGACGTTGCCATTGTTCGTTCCGCCGTATGAAACTATGGCGACGATCTCAGCGAGTGTTGAGAATGAAGCGACAGCTTCCTCGCTGAGTGTGCTAGCGTCGTATACTGGCATAATAGAGTTAGCGGCTATATATTTATATATGTATTTTTATTTTTCGGGTTTTCGATAACAGAAAGGTCATAATTAAAAGCATGAATTTCTGGCTTAATCAGTGTTTCCCTCACAGATCAACCCGAATTTATCCTTCACATCACACTCATCTGATCCCCTCAACGCCTCCAATCCCTCCCGTACTGCAGAGAGAACAGAATATCCAGATCCAGATCCGGACCCATGCTCCGAAACCGTAGCCGGCGCCCGCACCTCGACCACGGCATATCCCTCCTCCGCCCATTTCTGCAGCGGTGGAGGATCCAGCGTCTGCTTAGTGTTATCTACGACTATGCCATCCGGAAGCACAAGGAGCAAACCCGGCCCATGGCCACGGCGCGATAGTGGCGGTTGGAGAGTGATGTTCGGGCCGAGTTGTTTTGGAGGGGCCGAAGGGAGTGGCACGGGCGCTTCTTGGATATCCATTTGAATTTATTTATTCTTTTTAATTTTTTTAATTGGTTGTTTTTGGGATCTGTAGCTAGGAGAATTCATGCATGCGCACTCATTTAGGTGTTCTGTGAGTAAGGGAGCGTCGTGTGGGGAAGTGGTCAACCGCGTGGTCGATGTAGCTAAGCCTTCGCCCCCGCGTCATCGCGAGCCAGGGAAAGGGCCTGCTCGGTTAGTTGGGCAGTGCACGTATAAACTATCCACCGGCATCAGCTCTGTTTCTTCGAAGGATCTATTACGTTCACCAAACTACGGTGTGTTGCCCTTGTCACCCATCTGGGAATACATCATCCAGCTAGTTACTTAAATTTTAAAACTTCGTATGTCCCTAAGTAATACAAAGAAAAAGCTGCATTGTAGCGGTTCGCCTCACTAATTGTAATTGCTCAAATTTCCATAAAACATGTACCGGAGCGAAGTCTAGGCACCGTTGTTAAGACTTGGGCAGCTTCCGTTCACCTCAAATCAAGCAACATGTCCAAAGACTGATTCGGTTTTTGGGTTTGCCGGATAGACAGAGTTGCGGTCAGCTACGTCGACCTTTAGAAGAGTCCAGAATGTGCTTGACGGTCCAGAGTTACTTCAGAAACCAGATCATTCTTCGGAGCAGACCGAATTCAGGCAGGTAACGACTAAGCAAGTCCCCGGTGGAGTAGTGAAGACCTGGTTGCGCGATAGAGCCGGACGGAGCGGAGCAATGGCAAGGACGAAGGCAAGGGCTTGATTGCGCGCTGCGCAGTGTCACGCCGTCAATTGGGTCTGGAGTCGATGTTTCCCCTCCCTCCCTTCAAAGATCCGGGGTCGTAAGTCACCCATTTCCGCAGTCAGACTATGATCTAATACCCGCCGCAACGCATAGGGTCGATCGCTTGAGATCTGCACTTGTTATTGTCAAGTGATGGTTCAAGGAAAACATCAGTATTGACCACCGCAAGTTGATGCACGCTGGGGTACCAAGATGCGTTTATCAGAGTTAGTGTCATTGAAGTTCGTTAAAATTCAACGCGCTATGGAAATTTTTGAGATCATTGACAGTAGTTATGAAAAAACGAAATCTCTAAACCATGCTGCAAGCAGTTGAGAGGAGAAAAGAAGGGGAGATGAAAAACATGGTTAATCCGAACAAAAAGAGCTCTCAATGTTACGTACTCTCGCTCCTTTTTCGCACCTCCAGATCACTTGGAGCTGCAAATTAATGGGCATCATGAGCCCCAAATCTGCCTCCTCATTCAAGCCTGAGCAGAGAGACTACCGATAGGCCAGTTGACGTGTAGCCTATTAGAGCGGAACTATCTGGGCGGAACTACCTGGGCGGGTTCCAGCGCTGCTCTGGCCCTAACTTTTGTAGAATGGCATCGATGTATGAAAGATTTGTGCAAAAAATCTAGGATTCGCTCTTAACTGGTTATGCGTCGCAAAAGAGGCAGGCCATTCAATCATCCGTGTCTTTGTGTGTTCAAATATATGGAAATATAGGTATATAGATGGCGTAATAGTGAACGTCGGATATTAATAACAGTTCCTCATTGCACCTTCTTCGGCTCTTCTTTGCGCAAGGATTCAATAACATCCATTAGCTGTGAGTTAATAATTTCAAAGGTTGATTGTGGCCGTGGCTGTGCAGAGAGATCTTGAGGGGTAGCTAACTTAGTTAACTAACGTAGTCCAACCACCAACCTTCTGGTCTACTTCCCCACCACGATTCAATGACGAGAAAAGAGAAGAAAGCGAGCAATCTGATCTACCGTTATGAAAGTACGCAACATCTTGATGTAGAGAGTGTGTGGAGCCATTGAACATTCAGGTCATCATGCTCTCAGTGTAGAAAACAATTCATAATATGTTTTAGCTTTTTTTTCTGTAGAGTTATTGTGCGAATTTGAATTGTAAGGTTATTAAATGGTGGAAAAAGTTGGACCAGAGGTTGGTGTGCACCATAGTTCGTGGTTACCTAGGCAATATCCCTGCTCAAGCATCCTCACTAGACCGCATGTAGGCTGGATGGTGGCTGATGCACCGGGGATGATGAGATTGAGTTCGAAATCTCAAGGACGGAGGGGGAGGGGGCGAACTAGAAAAGCATCCATGGACAAGCCAGTTGTTGTTGCGAGGGAAGATGAAGATGAACCGTCGATGATGATCGGGGTATAGATTTCCATCCATCTGCCCGTCCGTACATATATACACACCTTCCCTTCTAAACTTGCTCCGAGTGGGGTGCCTTTAATAACCTCTCCTTGTTCCTCCAGCTTGGTTTCCATGGCATTCATTGCATGTTTTATTGGGGATCCACCCAAAAGAATAACAACATCATAGCGGTTGAATTGATTTGATGCATGAGCCACCACAGCCACCATCTAAAGTGGTTGTCACAGAAAGGGAAGTTTGTAGGTGCAGTATCATAGTGGAGTATTTATTTATCGAGGATGCCTCAACAAGCGCCTTGTTGACTCGGCGGACAAATGGTATGATAGGAGCCTGTTATTTTTAGCTGGTCCAAAATAAACAATTGCTTGTTTTTTATTTTTTGTTTTTGCTTTTTCTTCTTCTGTTTTCTTTGGCGAGCTCGCTTGTGTCGTATTCACTCCAGCTTTAAAGAGTTTAGTTAGCTCCTTGGTGAAGAGTTGGGAGTTGAAGCCTGGTGTGGACTGCGCCAGCACCAGCCTTGTCATTCCTTGCCTGCTCGCTGGCTTAGGGAGAACCAGAGCGTTCTTATTTCTTCTTCTTTTCTCTCTTTTTATTTTACTTTTACCATTCCCTCCCGGAAGTTCCTGTATCAGAATCAGCATTTCGGCAATCAACGCTCATTTATTCATCTTGGAAATAGAATCTTTTGGAACAACCGCCTACCTGAAACGAGACAACACCCGATCACAGACTTAAATCTCACCAGCTAATACAGAACTTTCCAAGGTAGCTTGTCTCTGACAGGCGCCTGAAACAAGGACGACCCAGGAAAGATACCTGCTTGGCTAGATCTGTTAGAGGAGAGGAGGGGAGAGGAATAGAAAGGAAATAGAGACAGAAAACGGTAGAGAAAGGAATAGAGAAGGGCGGGATGTCATATAACCGTCTAGGTCAGTGGATGATCAAAATGGATCCTACATGTTCCCAATGTTCCCTTTTTATCCGCCTCGTCCATGTTCAATGTCGATGTTCTATGTTCATTACGTCGTCTTGTCGTCGCTTGCCCCGGGGTGACGTCTTCTCCTGTCCTGAGCCGCACCTCAACATCACTCTGCCCCATACCCCAAACAACTCCCCTACAAACTCCCCTACACTACCTCTGTCTTACATCCAATCACTCTCCTAATCTTCCAATTACCCCCTCACCCGCTGCTGCTGCTGCGGCTTCATTCGTTCCATCTTCCAAAACCCCTCGTTTCATTTCGTTTGTCTCTTGAGCTGCTCTTGTTTTCTGCTCTTGCTTCCCCTAGTTCATTGCAATTTCAAGGTCAATTCCAACCCCAATTGCAGCTACAATCCCCCCCCCCCCCTTCTGCCAACCTTTTCTTGATAGGCGCACTCCAAGGCTGCGCCTTTGGCCATTCACTTAATCCTTTATAACATCAGGGCACCCCCCCCCCAGGAGGGTTGCTGTCACGGAACATACCTCTCCATCTCCGTGTAATGTACATGCATTGCTAGCTATAACACACTGCCAGTAAAGCAAGATCTCTGAGGCTGAAACCAGAATTCTGACTGACACCATTCACCAGACTCTTCTCAGGACGACGACCCTCACGATCTCGGGATGAATCCAAATAGATCCGACCCCCATCGAACGCAGTCCCCGGGGAGACCTCTTCACGGTTATCAGCTGGAAGGCAACCCAAACCGAACCCCTTCCTTAGGGAGACCCTTTCGTGGCTATCAACTGGATGACAACCGATACCAGCAATATGGACACCTGGAAATGCCCTCAGGTGACCGTCTAGCTGACCAGCCAACCGTGAGACATAATTCCACCCATTACACTCAAACCCTTTAAACCCCCATCCTAAACCCTTTAACCTTTTAGTACTCCGTTGAAAATATACAAAACTCCTATGGTCACAACGAAGCCTATGAAACCGCTAACCCATATCGAGCCTCCCCCCTGGCGCGCACGGAATATACCATCTCCCCCGAAGCACATCACGACGCATACTATACCCAACCCTACCAACCCACAGCCCCGTCCCCTTCCGAATACGATGCCCAGCCATTCCCCTCGCAGACCCCGCAGCCATACCACGATGATGAAGTCCCCATTCTCCAAAATCCATATCGTCCGAACCCGCAATTGGCATACCAGGAGTCCGCCCTCGCTCCAACACCAAGCCCGGCCCCGATAAGAAGATGGAAGACCGTAAAGGAAGTCCAGCTATTCAACGGCAATTTGGTGCTGGATTGTCCCATCCCACCCAGACTGCTTAGCCAGGTCAACCATGCCAAACCACCAGAGCGCGATGAATTTACGCACATGCGCTACTCAGCAGCGACGTGTGACCCGGCTGATTTCTACAATGAACGCTTCACGCTTCGCCAGAGGCTGTTCGCGAAACCCAGGCATACGGAACTGTTTATTGTGGTGACGATGTACAATGAGGATGACTTCCTTTTTGCCCGGACTATGATTGGTGTTTTTGAGAATATTGAGTACATGTGCTCGCGGACGAATAGCAAAACATGGGGTAAGGAGGCTTGGAAGAAAATCGTCGTCTGCGTTGTTAGCGATGGACGTGCGAAAATTAACCCACGCACCCGCGCCGTGCTCGCCGGCTTGGGCGTATACCAGGACGGCATCGCTAAACAGCAAGTCAACGGCAAAGACGTCACGGCACATATCTACGAATATACCACGCAGATTGGAATGGAGTTGAAGGGCAACCAGGTCCATCTGAGACCGCGCTCAGGAGTGCCCGTGCAAATGATATTTTGCTTAAAGGAGAAGAACCAGAAGAAAATTAACTCGCATCGATGGTTTTTCCAGGCTTTCGGGCGCGTGCTTGACCCGAATATCTGCGTGCTACTGGATGCGGGGACGAAGCCCGGGAAAGACTCTATTTATCATCTCTGGCGCGCCTTTGATTTACAGCCCATGTGCGGCGGTGCTTGCGGGGAGATTAAAGCGATGTTATCGCATGGCAAGAGACTGATCAACCCTCTCGTCGCGGCGCAGAACTTTGAGTATAAAATGAGTAACATCCTCGATAAGCCCCTCGAGTCTGCCTTCGGTTTCATCTCTGTGCTACCCGGCGCGTTCTCCGCATACCGTTATGTCGCACTACAGAACGACAAGAATGGCCAGGGCCCGCTGGAAAAATATTTCGCTGGCGAGAAGATGCACGGTGCCAACGCGGGCATATTCACGGCAAACATGTACCTAGCCGAGGACCGGATATTGTGCTTTGAGCTCGTTGCGAAGCGGAATTGCCAATGGTTGTTGCAGTATGTGAAATCATCGACGGGGGAGACAGATGTGCCTGATCGGATGGCGGAGTTTATATTGCAGAGACGGCGGTGGTTGAATGGTAGTTTCTTCGCGGCGGTGTATGCGATTACGCATTTTTATCAGATATTTAGGAGTCGGCATAGTTTTACGAGGAAGTTAATGTTTATAATTGAATTTGTTTATCAGACTATTAATATGCTTTTTGCGTGGTTTGCTATCGTGAGTTTTATTTCCCCCCTCCCCCTTCCCCCCCCGGCTCTTAGAAACCCATGTTAACATGTTTCTACCAGGGCAATTTTTTCCTCGTCTTCCACATCCTCACCAAATCCCTCAGCGCCGCCAATCTCCTCGGTCAAGTCGGGCGTGTCCTCGGCGTCATCTTCGAATGGCTCTACCTAGTCACCCTTGCCACCTCCTTCATCCTCGCGCTGGGTAATAGACCGCAGGGCTCCAACAAATTCTACATGACGATGGTCTACTTCTGGATCGGGATAATGATTTACCTCACGTTCGCGGCGATATTTATCACGGTGAAATCGATTCAGGCGGAGACGGCAGATAACGATTTTAGTTTTCGATCTATATTTCAGAATCATCAGTTTTTTTCAATGATTGTTTCGTTGATGTCAACGTATGTGCTGTGGATTGTGGCTTCGTTGTTGTTTTTTGATCCGTGGCATATGGTTACTTGTGTAAGTTTATTTTCCCCCTTTCCCCCTTTCCCCTTTTCCCCTTTATCCACAAAACCAGCCCATATTCCCAACAAGATAGACAGGAGAAAGGGAAAAAAAGATATAAATAAAAATAAATAAATAAAAAATTCCAAACTAACGTTCCCAGTTCCTCCAATACATCCTCCTAACACCAACCTACATCAATGTCCTAAACATCTACGCCTTCTGCAACACCCACGACATAACCTGGGGCACAAAAGGCGACGACAAAGCTGAAAAACTTCCCAGCGCAAACCTAAAACCCTCCGGAAAAGTCGACGTCTCCATCCCTCAAGACGACGGCGACCTGAACGCCCAGTACGAAGCCGAACTTCTCAAATTTGCCTCCAAACCGCCCAAGGAAACCCGCGTTGTCTCCGAGGAGGACAAACAGGAGGACTACTATCGCGGCTTCAGGTCTGCAGTGGTGCTTGTGTGGATCTTTTGTAACTTTGCGCTGGCGGCTGTTGTGCTTAGTGCTGTGGGCTTGGATCGCATTAATCTGGATACGTCGAGGGAGCAGAGGAGCACGGTATATATGGCTGTTGTGCTGTGGAGTGTAGCGGGGTTGTCGCTTTTTAGGTTTATGGGGGCAATGTGGTTTTTGGTTACGAGGCTGGTGAGTGCTATTACATTACATTTCTTTTTGGTTTTGCTCTATGTTGCTCCTTTTATATATATATTATATTATATTATTTTTTTATTTTTATTTTTTGGCGGCTAACGATGTTGTTTTGTTTGTATAGTTCCGCGGCGTGTAACCAGGGAGACTTCGAAACAAGGGCACTTCGTCGCCTTTGTTTTCAACCCGTTTCGTCCCGTTCCATTCCTCGCGGGCGGCAAATGTAAACCCAACCTCCCGTCCTCTGCTCGGTTTCTGCCGCTTCGATGAACGACAGACGGCATTATTATCACCGGAAGGAATATTTTGATTAAAAAAAGAAGGGCGCGAGATGTACGAGAACGATATTTTCATGTTTTTAATGCCTCAGTCGTTTGATTTCATGTTTTTTACCCCTACCACTGGTTGCTTTAATAAACCCTCTGCATCGCTGATGTCTAATGTGGTTTATGTTATCATTTTATTCACTTTCTTTTTTTTGATGTATTTTATTTTAAAAAAAAATCTTTATTGTAAAGGGGTCGAATGGGGGGATGGAGTGATGTATCATAGCTTGTTTTCTCACTGTTTTCTACGTCGCTTTTCTTTTTTTTCTTTTTGCTCTTAGCTACTTTATTTCTCAATGTTTTCCATATGCGCTTCTATTCGTCAGTTTGTTTGTTTTGCAATATCCCCATATATCATATCATAGTACAGTGCCTGTTGTTGCTTTATGGTCTGCTTTTCCCATTTTCACTGTTCAGAAGATGAGGAAGAAACATGTAATATGTGGAACGTGTCTTCACTGATGGAATAATATGAATATATTGATGTATTGATGTTTACATGTGCATAATTTTATCTATTTGGATTTTATGGATGGGGATGAGATATTTATTTTGATATCATTTTTCTCTTGGCTTTATCTGATGATTTGAAATGGGTAGTTAGTTGTATACGTGATGCAAAAGTGCCACGGGTGTAAATAGCCAAAAAAAAAAAAAAAAATAAATAAATAAATAAAAAGGCACGATACACAATACATCAGCTGTTCATTCTGCGGAGAAACGCCCATCCGTAAATAACACCGGGCAGCAAATGGAAACAAGAGGCAGTTACACAAGAAGGAAAAAAGGTCCGCAGCAAGATTTCAACCGCTCACATCAATGCAGTTCACAACTCAATCTGGCAGAATCAGATACGATCACCGAGTCTTGGAGTGGACGCACAGGGCAATTCCACCCAGCACCATGAACATACCAAGCCAAGTTGCTGTGCAAAATCATGCCAGTTAGCGCAAGCAATCGGATATGGGGAATTGCAGAGATATCATTTGTCTGCATGCAGGCTTACATTTTGATATCACTTTGCCCTCGACGTACCACTCTCCCAGGACGGTGAAGAGGAATGCGATTGAGTTTGTGATTGGGACGGTGAGACTGAGTTCTGTAGACGGGTTAAAATGTGGGAGGGGGTGGGTGATTTGCATTGGGGAGGCGGGAGGATGGGGGTTTTGGATGTTACGTAGAAAATTTCCGTATGAACGGAACCATGTTCCAGGAATGTGAGATTTCAGGAAAACCAAAGGGGGATAACTAAAGAAAAAAAAAAAAAAAAAAAAAAAAAAAGAAGAAGAAGAAGAAGAAAAAGTCATGCCATCATATAACTAGTTAGTTACAAATGCATACCGTGTTTCCCAACCAGCAGAAAAAACCACACGCTCCCCGTTACGTTCAACAGCAACGGGACGGAGTAGCCGGGCGTCCGCAGAAGATCCACCACGGTCTGAAGCAACGGTAAGAGACTCCTCTTCAGCCAGGAACAGCTGGAGCCGGAAACATCCTCTGTTCCTCCTTGCTGTGGTGATGCTCTGCGCTGATTCCGAGCGTTGAAATCGACGGCTGCGCGGCGGATGAAGGGGGTCGTGAAGCCCCATGCGACGCCCACGAGGAGGAAGCTGAGGATGTAATTTAGGAGGCTTGGGGGGCTGTCTCCGATATTATGGTCCATTGTTGAGCTTGCTTAGCATGTTTTATTTTCATGGACGGAGTCCACGGGCAGGCGGGGAGGGTTTGACCCGGTTGACACGGGCGGCTTTTGTTTGGGAGCAGGTCCTCGGCCAAGCGCAAGCTCCAAGGGTCAGGGGGGTCAAGATCCAGTTAAGCTCGGCGCCAATCGCAGCCTCCTGCGCATTGCGTGTGGATCAGGGGCACCGCCGGTTGGTTTTCCGGATTCGTTAGATAACCCAGCGACATTTTATTTTGCATAGCTTGTAAAAAACGGAAAAAGTCCCGGAGCGCAAGCAACTCCCAACTCCGCCCAGCTTCTGTTCTGTTCTTATATCATCATCCCTTTTTCGTCCGGCCGTCCCTGTATCGGAAGCCGGGCTAGCTCAATCGGTAGAGCGTGCGGCTCTTAGATCCGTCAAATGTCGCTGTCATGTGACCGCAAGGTTGCGGGTTCGACCCCCGCGTTCGGCTCTGCTTGCTTTTTATCGCTCTTCACCGTGTGGAATACGTATGTATATATATGTATATATATGTATATATATATATATGTAATATATGTTGTAGTTGCCTCTGTCAGATTGGGGTCTCCTTTTTGCTCTGGGGATTTTGTGAGAAGCTGCTGATGGGGGTGGTGCGTAGAGACAGGTTAGAGCTGAAACTGATACTTTTCCCCATACATACATACATACATACACTGGCATGTTGTCTTTTAGCTGACTGGGTTCTAATTGTCCCTCCTTTTCCCCGCCAGCCCCCTTCTGGGCCTCTGGACAAAGGCCCAAGTCGAAGCTGAGACTCTGGGATGATGAGCTGCCCAGGATATATTTATCCGCACTACAAGGCCGGATACCGCGAGCTGCTCTGCGATGAAAGTGAAGGCTCTCTCTCCTTGTACTAGTTACCTTATCCCGAGAAAATCCATTATCAGGAAGCAAAAGTGTGGTTAACGGCTCTCCATTTTACGACGCTAGCAGTCAAATTGGTACAATCCAACAAACTTACGGCCGCTGCAGATCGATCTTCAGATGGTCGTAATCGACTGTGGTGATACGATGAATGCCAAATAACAGTCTAGGGGTAGCTAGGACCCCCCAAATCATGTTATGCTGCATCGATATTCCTTTTTGATGGAGTTGACAGTTGCACCAACATATTCTATACCCTTGCGACGTCTGGAGCTTCAATGAGCAGTTAGTTCTCCATGGAAGATTCCTGGGAGAGGAATGGATGGTTAACATCCAGCCTGCCATGCTGACGGATGGCAATGATGCGTCACTGTTCGAACTCGACAAGAACTTTCCAAGGCCTTTTCGGGGCCACTGACTAACCCACAAGCTGGCGGTATCAACAGATCGAGTTTACGTCTGGGTTCCTCTTCCCTGCTGTTTAGTGTGGGACGATGATTCTTGCACCATTATCTCCTCTCCTCCTGACGAACCCTCATTTCCCATTAATCACTTCAATCATAGTGAACTCCCTAGGCAATGCTGCGTAAGGTAGCTTGTCAGAACACCCTGTTCACTAACTAAATGTTAACTAACGTAATCCGCCACCCAACGACCTCACTCTTTTCATCTCAGTGCCCAACTTCAACCACCCACCATGGTGCCCAATGAAGAGGTGATGCAGTCAGCTTTTGAGGTTTTGAACAGGCAATTAATTATGCTCAGATCACAAGAGAATTCAGAATTATCTGAACAATGTTGATGCAGCACTACGACGAAGACACACAAGTGTTCCGAACAGAGGCAATTTCTGCGGACTGCCAGCTTCTCATCAACACTGAAGAAAACTGCCAGCTGTTCCATCCATGTAAACTGTCTTGCAGACTGTGGCTTCTCAGTGTGCAAGATTCGATGATTGAGATTACAAAACCATCTGTGAGAGTCAATTGAGTTGTTCGCGCCTCTCCAAGGGCTACAGAAGTTGCTCGGCGGTTGGCAGGCCGACCAATCCGCAGTGAAATGGATCATGAGCATTATGAACGTCTCGCCGTTGAGGACTATGTGAATGACTGATATTATTTCAGAATTATGCAAGATTACTAAAACCTGAGAGGGGTTGATCCTGATGATGGACTGAAGTTTGAAAATCATTCTTATACATTGTCAGGGAATGGCAATGGGAATGGGAATGAGAATAATTTAAACAGCCCACCGTACTCTCCACCAGATCGGTTCTGCATCTACCAAGCTTGTGGCAACACCAAGACCTTGATTGCCACTACTGTAGAATACAAACCTCCCCCAATAAGCTGTTCCTGGAGAACCCTGACTTTGGTCGATTAACTTCTATCATGACGCCGTGGAGTCAAACCTCATTCCAACTGGCGGTCCGGAAAAAGTCGAGATACAATGCCACGCATCTCGCTGGATCGGCTATTGTACAGGAGTATCGTGTGATGATCCAAGAAAGGCTTGAGTATTTATACTTAACCACAGGCTTATGGAATGTGCTACTGAGGGTTCTCTCCGATGACCCAGGAGCCCTTTACTATGACCTAGGCCAACCCAACTTGGACGTCGAGGCGAACATAGCAGGCTTCTGTCGACCGAAGACGGAGGTCGAGAGAGTGCTGAGTGCTGTGCCTTTGCCTTCATGAGTTGCCTCTCGGAAGTTCGTAATCAGGCTCTGGCGGAATTCAGCGCGGAAAACAATTGCCGATCTGGGAAACCATTTTCAGCCTCATTCGAATCCAGATTCCTGAAGATGAATTACGACAGAATCCCCCCAAACTCTGGCTACGGTTTTAGGAGGAGGGGGGGTTTGTAGGTCAGGAGAGTGCTGGTTTTGGTTTTGGGGTGGACGGGAGTATATGTATTTTATCATAGTAAATTCGTTTAAGATGATAGTCTTGCTTTCAGCATTTAGTTGGTACGACCGATGCTGACGAAATTGGTAAAGGGAAAGTGTCGGGATATCTCACGGGCTAATAATGCATCAAACGAGCGGTATATTTCTCTGCATCTATCATCATCGAATGGACTAGAAGGAAAGAAGGTGGTATTTATCCACAAAAGAATGTGCTGGAATAACTAAGCAACTAAATATCTCTTCGCTATATGCAATCGCACGTAATTTGTATGCAATCGCACGTTATCCTGACAGAAAGAGAGTAATCAAAATATGCAATTTTCGTGACATTGAGATTTCAGATGTGATGTTGAAAGGATGTTCGATTTGTTTTATGTTACTTTGTTTCATTTTTCTGGAAGTTGTCGGATATTATAGAAATAAATACACCATCATCATACTTACGTTCTTTTGCGAAATTCAGGGTTTGTGAGAGTCTCGTATGGACAGAATGTATATTTTTCGGAACCCCTCCAACTTTCCCTTTCCTCTTTCTCCGCTAACACCAACACCGACACGGCATTTAACACTCTACACCTTCAAAGACACCAGCGAAACCGCGAATTCAGACAATCCATCCGACCCCCAAAATGACCCACGATCTCGGCCCTTCAACAACCCCTAACACCCCCACCAAACCCATCTCCGTCCTCTTCGTCTGCCTGGGAAACATCTGTACGGATCTACCCCTCCCCCTTTTCCCCCCAACTTCCTCTCCAATTTCATACACCCAACAAACTAAAACTAACCCCGTCACCCCCCCAGGCCGCTCCCCCATGGCCGAAGCTATCTTCCGGCACCTCACCGCCTCCCTCCCCCCCACCTCCCCCCTGCACTCAACACCCATAACAATCGACTCCGCCGGCACAAGCGCCTATCACCTCCACGCACCCCCCGATGCGCGCACCATGTCCACGCTGCGGCGGCACGGCATAACCGACTACACGCATGCGGCGCGGAAGGTGTGCGGGGACGACTTTGAGCGGTTTGGATACGTGCTTGCGATGGATGGGGTGAATCTGAGGGATTTGGAGGCGAAGCGGGGGAGGAGTAAGGGCAGTGGTCGTGGGAAGGGGGCGCAGGTGCGGTTGATAGGGGACTTTTTGGAGGAGGGGGATGTTGTTGGGAAGGTGGGTGGGGGGGAGGTGGTGGGGGATCCGTATTATGGGGGCGATGAGGGGTTTGAGAGGGTTTATGAGCAGCTTGTTCGGTTGGAGGGGGGGTTTTTGAGGTTTTTGGAGAGGGAGGTGGGGAGGGATGGGGAGGGGAAGGGGCAGTGATGGGTTTTTTTTTCTTTTTCTTTTTCTTTTCTTTCTGGTGGGATGTAGAGAGTGGATGTGTTGGTGATGAGTTTATGTTGGTTGGGGATGATTGTTTGAATTGCTAGCTTGATGAGTCCTTGGTATATAGGAATAGCTATGCTTTCGGTTTATTTTTACTTGGTTGGGGGGCCTTTCTGGAGTTTTCTGATGTTTCGTTCTTGGTTATAACTATGTACCCTTCTTTGCGCAACGCGGTGACATATACGTTGTCTGGACATTCTAGATAGATAGATTAAATCATAGAATATGTCGCTTGCTTATTATCATCTTCCATGGGATAAACCCATGTCAAAGGAAATGGAACCAGAGGTGGGTAAAAATTGATTTCCTCAACGTACTGTTCTCTTTCCGGGATCGACGTGGTGGTAGATATGAAAAATGTTGTGGTTTGATTGATATTTCCCCCCTGAATTAAAGCAGTTGGCAGCACAATCTCTCTATCATACAATGCAAACAAATAACAAGCATATGCACAAGCAGCGGGCAAACGCAGACGACCAAATAAAGTGAGAAAAAGGCCCATTTTCAACCCATACCGCCCCCATACGAATCTATGTTACATGGAAGAGATATCAAGGTTGATTTGGCGAAGAACATGTAGGAAGGTTGAGAATGCACCCAATTCGTTGCTCCAGTCGGGTAATTTCTGTCCCAAAAGCATTGATATCAATATCGTCTGTGGTAGAGTAATGCGCAGCCCGGGGATTAGTGGACATGTTGATTATTACTGAGTGTTGGTGAGGTGGCGTCAGAAGAACGTTTGATGTCGGGTGTTGCGTCGCGACTAACGGGTAGGAAGCCGGGATGGGGCAGATGCGAGGTTGGTTGGAGTTGTAGTCCTGAGAAAGTGTTTGGAACGAGAGGTAAAGAACATCAGCAAGGGCGGCAATCGTGGGTGTATGTCCGGGCAAGGATCATTGTCACGGGTAGTATTGCACTGCCACGGCTTGTCCGGGACTCAATAACTGGTCGATGTTTCCATTTCCATCCCGCGTATGTTCAAGCGTGTATATAATTGGACAAAAATCCAAAATGCAGCAGCGCAATATACATTCCTCTCCACCTCACACCCGCTGGCTAATCTTAATAGCCGCCCTACATCCCAAGCGCACCACATTAACCAACAAGTCATACGGCCTTGCCTCCTTCGCATCATTCTCCACCGCATGATCCAGATGCTCCAGCTCCTCATCTCTAATCCTCCTTAACGTCTGCACCAATTGCTCCAGCTCTCTCCTCCCGCCATCGGCCCCCTTCCCCTCCCCACCGACCCCTCCTCCTTCCCCCTCCAACCATCCCAAAATCTCCCTAACCTGCTCATTATAATGGCCGCCAATCTCTGTCTCCACCGCCTCCGTGCACGCCATCGCCGCCTCCCTCCCCATCAGCCCCGTCGACCACCCCAGCACCGTTGCCGCCACTTGCCAGACGGGATACATAACCGTCGGCCTGACGCGGTGCTTGGCGCAGAGCTCGTTGAAGGTTGCGAAGTGGTTCGCTTCTTGGTCGTACATGTGTTTCATGAGGGGGCGGAGGTGGGGATTTGAGCGGGTTAAGGGGGGTGTTTGGGCGGCGTAGATTAGTGTTGCGGCTAGTTCGCCGGCTTGGTTTACGCGGAGGGCACGGGAGAGGTAGGTGCGTTGGGACGGGGTGAGGGTGAAGGGGGGTTGTTTGGAGGAATTCTCTGGAGGAGCATTGGGAGGTGCGGGGTCTGGGGATGTCGAGGCGAGGCGGCGGGTTTGCTGGCTGAGTGGTAGGAAGCGTGGGATGGGATGGGTTTTGGAATATACCGGAGTTCGAAGGGATATTCTGCAGACAGAGAGGGACTGTCTGAGGGGGGGAATCGGATCCATTGGGGACGGTATAGATATAGTAGAGCGATCTGTAGACAATTGCTTCCTCCTTCCAGCGTGTAATTCCCTGTTCCCTTGGTTCCCTTCCGCTCTGTGGCTTGTGAAGAAACAATTTTGTATGTCGAAGGCAACTCGGGGATGATGATGATTGACGTCGACAATTTCCCCTTTGGGAATTGTCAGCGAGCGGAAACCCACTAAACTAACTGGTTAGTTAAGTCAGCGCTGAGTCAGCCGCCTCGCAAACTCCTCGCAAACTGAACGTCACGAACGGAAGAGAACAGAGACAAGAACAAGAAACAACCTCTACAGAAGACGACGGTTTGGACCCAGGGGCAACTGTCGAGGATCAAGGACGGATACTCGCATCTACTGCCATATACCACCAACCATCTGCTATCCCCTCCGTATACGTCTACGCGTGGTGGCCCCAGGTTGCTAGTTGCCTTTGGCCACCCCATCCCCCCCTCCCGACTTCATTCACCCGACGCAATCACCCAGTGAAGACGAGCTGTCATTGCGTACTTCCAAAAAAATACAACGCCACATAAGAGACCGATTTCCCTCCAAGGGACCCCAGACCCACCAGTCCCCGATTTGTGCGCTTCTACTGATTGCATAACTTTTATATAACCTACCTATGACATCCTGATCTCCTCGTTCCTTCTCTCTGACAACCATCGCTGCCAGCCATCTCTTCCTGCTCTCTTGATACCAGTTTCGCAAAATCTCAGATTTGCAAAGTTCCCAGCTGTAGCCCGCGGTTTCCCTTCATCATGTCGGATATCGACGCTGAAATCTTGGCTTTGGCGGGAGGCGACGACTCTTCGGACGAGGAAACCGCCCCGGCCCAGCCGAAGGGAGCCTCACCGAAGGGACATGGCTCTGGCACCAACAAGGACAACAGCAGCAGTAGCAGCGGCGGTGGCAGCAGCAGCAGCAACAACAACAACATCAACAACAACATCAACAACAACAACAACAACAACAACAACAACAACAACAACAACAACAACAACAACAACAACATCATCAACAACAACAACAACAACATCATCAACAACAACAACAACAACAACATCATCAACAACAACAACAACAACAACAACAACAACAACAACAACAACAACAACAACAACAACAACAACAACAACCACAGCAGCAGCCATAACAACGATGGGGGAGAGTCGGAGGAGGAAAGTGGCGAAGTTTCTAGGAAGAAGACTGGAAACAGCTCCTCCTCGCGCCGAAAGCGGTCGAGAAATGCAGCAGATGATGATGATGCTGAGCTGTACGTATTGTTACTCTCTCACTTGTTTCTCTGGACATTGTGCATGTTTACATTCACTTTTTTTTTTTTTTTTACACAACACACATCTTTTTTTGGATAGATTTCTTTTGTCTCTTTTACCTTCTTCTATCTACACTTACAGACTCTTTCTCCCTTTTACCTCTTACAACCTACAACCACAAAAAGCAACCATGCTAACCAAATACCAAATACTCAGCTCCTCCTCTTCCTCCCGCTCCCGCACCTCTCTTCGCTCTGCCGCAATGTCCGAATCATCGTCCTCCGCCTCCCCACCCCCAGACCCAGACTCCCAAGGCCCGATCTTCCCATACGAAAAGCTCTTCCATTCCGCCAAGGACAAGGCAGAAGTAATGGCCCTCCCCGAAATCCAGCGCGAGCAGCTTCTCTCCGACCGCGCGCAGCAGGTCGATCGACACAACCAGGACCTGGCCCTGCGTCGCTTGCTAGCATCCCGTGAGCGCGAAGAGGCCCGCGCAGCTGAGAAAATGATGAAGAAGCGAAAAGTTGGTGCTACGGACCTGGACGAGAAGGAGAGCCAGCGGAAGAGCTCGAGGCAGAAGACGACGCTGGGCGGTAGGAAGGTTGGGGAGACCTCTGATGCGATTGAGGCGTATAAGAAGAGGAGGGAGATGAAGGAAAAGAGGGATGAGATGCGTCGGAGGGAGGCGGGGCAGAGGAAAAGGGGGGCCAGAGATAGCTCTGGGTCGCCGGAGGATGGGCTTGTTTCGGACAATGACGATGCTGTTGTTGCTGCTGCTGGCGGTCACAGTGAGGTTGAGTGGGATGATGGTGGTGGTGGTGGTGGTGGTGGTGGTGGTGGTGAGGGTGGGGCGCGGAGGAGGTCAAGTTCGTTGCCGAAAGATGACCCCCCTGCTGAGCTGAGGGATATTCAGCGCGTGAAGGTTGGACGGAGCAATTTTGCGCAGGTGTGCTTTTATCCTGGGTTTGATCAGGCAATTGCGGATTGTTTTGTTAGGGTTGTTGTTGGGGTGAAGAAGGATGGGGAGAATGAGTATCGGGTTTGTTCGATTAAGAGTATGTATTTTTTTCTTTTTCTTTTTTCTTTTTCATTTTTACCTGTTGTTTGTAGGGTTGTTGCTGATAAGTTTGATTGTGTCTAGGATTCGTTGAGGGCAGACCATATGCCATGGAGGCTGCGAATGGGAGGAATTTCGTCACTACGCAATATGCCGTTCTTGCGCACGGCAAGTCGGAGCGGGAATTCCCATTCATCGCCTGTTCAGATTCGCCAATCACTGAGGTATATATCCCCATCCCTTCCACCCCATCGCTAACTGTTTATCCGCTCCCATAATATCCCACATTCTAACACCAATGTCCCCACACCCCCAGCCCGAGTTCAACCGCTACCGCCAAACCATGATCGTCGAAGGCTGTAAAATGCCCACAAAATCCCAAACCGCCGCCAAAGTCACCGCCATAAACCGGCTAATAAATCACACCTTCACGCGCGAAGAACTTGAAGAAAAACTCCGCCGCCAAGGCACAAACGACAACAAAACCAAAATCTTCCAGCGCATCCAGCTCGAGCGGCGACGCCAAGAAGCCCTCACATCCGGCGACGAGGCGGCCATCGCCCAATGCGATGCCGAACTGGCACAATTCGTCGGCCCCAAGTTAGCGTTCGGTACGGTGCTGTGTAAGCCGCGCTCGAAGGAGAAGACGCAGCAGGAGCGCCTGCAGGAGCTGAATTTACGGAATCAGAAGCTTAATGCGGAGAGTGTAAGACGGGCGGAGATTGAGGAGAGGAGGAGGGTTAGGCTTGAGGCGGA